TTTTTGGCATAAAAGAGATATTGATAATTTTGACCCATACAATGTTTTTTTGGTTATTGCTAAAAAATATACCCCAGCGACTTAAGACTGCTTTTGTGCTCCAGGGTCATATACTATATATAAATACACATCATCTGTAGTGGAAATTCTAAGTCAATCAATAAATGTGAAACTGAGAATGAAAGACCAGTCCAAACAAGAGTTTGTCTTTATCTTGCTTTAATTTTTGCTGAAATGCTCTGGTTTACATACACAGAGAGGCCTCTGCTCATAAAGAGATAACAATAGGCTCTTGCAAACAACATTTATATTCTCAAGTATACATTTTTAAAGGTAACGGTATCCCTTGGGCTTCAGCTCTAACCAATTCACATTCCAGCGGCAACTCCTGTGTATACTCCAAGTTCCTGTTCTCCTCGTCTTCCTGTCTTCATTGTGTGTTTGTGTTCCATGTGTGATACTTACCACCACACTCACCAGCATCCACTCGAGCTGTGTGCTCTCTCACCGCTCCTGAAGTCCACGATCTCCTCCGCACTTTCAAAGACAGTTACATCATTACCGTTCCATCTCTCCACTGAACTTTACAAAAGACCATTCAATTACTTGCTTCTGTTTACCGTATCTATCTATCTATCTGTCTGTCTGTCTGTCTGTCTATATGTCTATCTGTCTGTCTATCTATCTATCTATCTGTCTATCTATCTGTCTGTCTGTCTGTCTAAACTGGAAACAAAAGTAATCGAAAGCCTCCAACACAGTGTTGCGTCGCGCAGGGCCGTAACCACCATAGACATTGAGGGGGACAAGTCCCCCCCAATAATTAAAAGTGGCCAAACTGAAAAACTAAAAAAATTATATCTTCAGCCTGCTCTGCCTCTGCGGTCTAACAGCACTTGTCAATGTCACAATAACTGAGATGACCAATCAAATCAAAGTAGGCGGGGTTTACCGTTCACAGACGTAGACCGTGATTTCCAGCGCAAAGCGTCAGTTTAACGTTGAAACAAGACAGTGAGGTAGGATATGGAAGTTGCAAATCATTTAATATTAGTGGTATAAACTGGTTTTTACGTTAGAAATATGGCCATTTTGAGAGAGAGAGAGATGAAAGTTGCGTTTGTGAATTACCTGCATCTGTGCATCTCTTTCTACAAAAAATGAAGCTGAGTTTAGTTACTTAAAAACAGCGATTTTACCTCCTTGTTGTTGAGTAATATAATGTAACGATCCAGTATCAAAGCTATTTTATTAATAAAAGTCGCGGGGCAGCGGGCCGTAGACAATAAGTTTCTGTGCTCTGATTTGTGTGCGAGTGTGTGTGCATGCGTCAACTGGCGCATTAATATAGCTTTTTATATATACACTGCCGTTCAAAATCAGTTAGATTTTTTAATATTTTTTTTTTTTTTACTGGAGTCTCTTATGCTCATCAAGGCTGTATTTATTTGATCAAAAATACAGAAAAAACAGTAATATTGTGAAATATTAAATATTGGTTTCCTATTTTAATATAGTTTAAAATATAATTTATTTCTGTGACGCAGCGTTGAATTTTCAGCATCATTACTCCAGTCTTCAGTGTTACATGATTTTTCAGAAATCATTTTAATATGCTGATTTATTAACAGTGTTGAAACTGTTGTGCTGCTTAATATTTTTTTTTTGGAACCTGTGTTACGGCCTTGGCGTCACGTGCATTCACAAACGCATTCCACTATGGAGCTGATTTCATCCAGCAGACACGCTCTCTACTTGCAGCTGCTCATCTGCTCGCAGCTCCCGTCGCTTATTTTGACAATGATCTACTGAAGGTATGAAACCTGTTTTATATAACCTACACTTAAAATGTTTCTAAACTATATTGTCAATACAATAGTTTAAGTGTTTTTGCAGAGAAAGGGGGTGTTTATATGGCCAATGTTTACAATAGCAAAATGTGTGACTCTCTTTACTCAACTCTGA